AGTCAGGCAGTAAAGATGATAAATATGTACGTAAATTTTGAGCAAGCGATTCATCTGGATCGACCACAACATAGGCGACGAGACGTGCATCAGTATTGTTTTTACATAACAAAACAACTGCTTCGCTTACTTGGGGATGTTCGATCAAACGAGCCTCGATTTCACCAAGCTCAACACGGAAACCACGGACTTTAACCTGTTGATCGATGCGTCCCAAATGGACCAAATTGCCGTCAGGTAGATAGCGTGCCAGATCACCGGTGCGATACATGCGAGCCCCTGGACTATCACTGAATGGATCGGACAAAAATCGTTCCGCAGTAAGTTCAGGTCGGTTGAGATAGCCGCGTGCCACACCACCACCACCAATATACAGTTCTCCTTCGACTCCCAATGGCACTGGTTCGCTATGCGCGTCTAACAGATAATAACAAAGATCTGCAAGCGGTCGTCCGACTGAATGAACAGATTTTTCCGATTCTAACCGTTGGTAGCTGGCATGAACCGTTGTTTCCGTCGTACCATACATATTGACTAGAGTTGTTTGACCTTTTGAACACTTTTCGTACCAGCTCTTTGCGGTCAATGCATCTAATTCTTCACCTCCAAGGACCACATAGCGTAGTCGATCACACAGTGAACTGGTACTTTTCATCTGCATAAATGTTTTAAAAGCAGAAGGAGTTTGATTAAGCACAGTTATACCACTGCTACAAGTCCATTCATAAAATTCAAGCGGTGACCGACTGAGATTGTAAGGCACAATCGCCAATTGACTTCCATTGAATAATGCACCCCACATCTCCCACACGGAAAAATCAAACGAGTATGAGTGGAAGAGACACCATTTGTCCTGACTATTAAAATCAAATTTGTCACGTGTAGCTTCAAATAGTCGTGTGACTTGCCGATGTTCGATCATCACACCTTTCGGAGTTCCGGTCGAGCCGGATGTGTAAATTACATAGGCCAGATGAGCCGTAGCTAATCCCAGTTTTTTTTGAGTCAGGATTGGCTGTTGATAGACCGTCAGGCAATGCTTGATCTAAGTCCACTACTGGCACTTGATGGTCTCCAAGTGCTTCCTGACCAGGGGCATCTGTCAACAAACACACTGGTTCGGCATCCTCAAGAATATTTTGTAGCCGTTGACTGGAATAGGCTGGATCAAGCGGAACATAAGCACCGCCCGATTTTAAAATACCCAATATAGCTACGAGTAAATTCGTACTGCGTTTCACGCAAAGTGCTATGCGATCATCTGGCATAACACCTTTCGCAATCAGGTAGTGTGCTAATCGATTTGCTTGTGCATTAAGATCTGAATAGTTAATTGTTTCTCCTTCACACTCAATAGCAATGGCTTGTCCATCGTTCTTCACCTGCGCCTCAAATAATTCATGAATATAGTGTACAGATGGATAGTTGACTTTGGTTTGGTTCCAGCTATGAAGCAACATTTTACGCTCCTCTTGTGGCATCACTGTTAATGACCGTATTGATTGTTGTGGTGTGTTCGTCATGGCATCGGCCAGGGATATTAAAGCCTGTTGCATATAAGCACAAATCCGTGTTGCTGATACTGGCAATATCACTTGGGCCGAAAGATTCAACGAATTTTCATCATCATCTACTGACAACGACAATGGGTAATTTGTTTTACTATCACCATTAAGAACACTAACTCCAGTAGGAAGTTCAGTAGTGACATGCTCTTCTTGTGTTTCATGGCGACAGTTCAATAATGCGCTGAAAAGTGGTAGAGCAACTGGTACGGCACTGCATCGTTGTGCCAAGGCCAGCGATGCATATTCGTGTGTCAATAAACTACTCAATTGAGAATGAGCGTTTCGCACAGCGTTTTCAACTGTTGTATCATCGATATCCAACCGCAATGGCAGCGTGTTGATCAATAGCCCCATTGCAGTTTCATTTCCTTCGCCGGACTGTAGACGACCGAGTAGCACAGTACCAAATACAACTGCCTCATTTCCACTGGTATGAGAAAGTACTTGTGCCCAAGCCAAATGGCACAAACTGGCCAAGCTTACACGGAAATGACGTGCAAGAGCTCGCAACTGATTATTCAGTTCTTGTGGCAAAGCAAGTTCTGCAGCATTAACGTCGGTACCACTGCGATGGACATCACTAAGACCAAACGGCAAAGTTGGCGTGTCGATGTCACTTAGCATTTTGCTGAAAAATT